ACGCGTAGTAAATCGTAGGTATTATAAGGCTATTAAATGACGAATTTCCCTTGTTTATTGATGTCACACTCCTTCCCTATTATCTACTCCTGCTATATATATATACAACATGGTGTTTAACTCGCCGCCGCACGGACCACAACTCACCGTTTTCAATCAGTTACAACTCCGGTGTTCCTGCAGGTGACGCCACTTTCCAACTATCGTTGGAATCGCAGAAGACTACTGAACAAGCTACACCCGCCATTTTTGACAATCGGCCTGCCAGAATGCGCTCAAATCACAGAAATTCCTCAAATATCCATGCGAAACCATCCTTCGCATGCTACCAGGCAAAAAAGCGGCATGCCCAACAGCTGGCGGCTGCGCTGATTGGCCATGACTCACCCGCGATGTCAACAAACATAGTTGCACAGCCTGTCTGCACGTTAAACTTAATTGCTGCAGCCAATCAGCGCAGCCGCCAATGGTTGGGCATGCCGCCCTTTTGCCTGGTAGCATGGGAAGGATGGTTTCGCATAGATATTTAAGGAATTTCTGTGATTTGAGCGCATTCTGGTGGGCCGATTGTCAAAAATGGCGGGTGTAGCTTGTTCAGCAGTCTTCCGCGATTCCAACGATAGTTGGAAAGTGACGTCACCTGCAGGAACACCGGAGTTGTAACTGATTAAAAACGGTGAGTTGTGGACCGTGCGGCAGCGAGTTAGGTAGCTCTAGTACTATAGCCCGCGTACAGTTGCCGCTGGCAGTGGCAACTGTATGCGGGCTATAGTAGTAGAGCTGTACGAGTTAGGCACCATGTTGTATATATATATATAGTCAATGGTCGCGTGTGTGCTGTAGCTGCAGGTGCCGACTTGTTCTTGCTGCCAGTGTCAGTGATTAATCAATATTAATTATTATGATATCGAGCAAATACTAAAAAAGTTATATATACTATTACTATTAGTAATACTAATAGTATTGTATTAGTACTATTAGTATTAGTATTACTAATTATATAGTTATAATATACATGATATAGGTTAATATAGAAAGCAAGTTGAGGTCAATAGCACCTGCCCTGTAGCACCGTAGTCATTATCAACAAATACATGCGACACATTAATTATTGAAAGCACAGAACTTACAACTTACAATGAAGTACGTACCAGAAAAAACACGATTAAAACAATCAGTCAATGAGTCAATGAGGAATGGGTATGGCGCTGACCGGAAATGACGCAACCGGCATATAGCCGGAACCGGAACCAGAACCGAGCTGCGAGTTGTCTCGCTCGCTCGCTTGTCTATGAACTGACAACACATGTTATGAACTTAGTTATGTCGTGATCATCTTCTCAGGTATATTATCATATCACATGTATGCGCAGCAAATATCATAGAGTATGTAGATTAGCAGGCTAACACAATACACCCGTAATAGTACAGGTAATGGGTGCGATAATCATGAATATTATGGGTGCAAATCCACTTTGGTTTAGGCACCTTAGGCTTAGGCTTAGGTATCACGAAGTGATGCACAGAATTCTGTGTATCATCAACTGATGCACAGACTTTCCGTATATCAAGGAATGATGCAAAACCCCTAACCCTAACCCTAACCTTAACCCTAACCCTAACACACTTCGTGATACCTAAGGTTATACTTTATGACTTAGGGTTAGGGTTAGGGTTTTTGCATCATGATCATTCCTTGATATACGGATACGGAAAGTCTGTGCATCAGTTGATGATACACAGAAATCCGTGCATCACTTCGTGATACCTAAGGTGCCTAAAGTGGATATGCGCCTAAATGATGCTGTCTATTTACTACAGACTGTCTCACAGGCACTTGACTTGGAACGTCTCAATAAAAAAAATAAAGGTCAATAAACACGAAATGTATTTACTACCAAAGTCTTAATGTTTTTCTACTCTATTTCGCCTATAATCACCTGTAAATGTCGGTCAAATGCTCATCTGCAACACACAAGTACACCGCCATCCCGCCCTGTACACAAACAACATGAATAAGAGAGCAGGTAGGAAAGCGTGATCACAAAATTCGCTCGACGCTCGCTTTATTTCACACCTTCACAGCATGAATACACATCCAACAACTTCCATCTTGGTATTTATGTGTAGATAAATGTTCACTTGTTCGAATTATAACTCTGTCCTTTGTCCTTACCTACTCCCGCCAGAGATATCTCGTGAAATCCTGCAGGAAATGTTCTCTCCGTGAAAATGTAAAGAGAGTGCATGTAAAGATGACGTATCATTCGAAAATCCCTAACGGCGCTAATTTCGATCGATCACTGTAGTCGTGTGTGTGTGACGTCATGCCCGCGCGCATTATGCTTGGTTTGGCGGGCCTCGAAACGGAGGCTCGGAGGCCGGCAGCAGCTCATCCCGGCATGCAATGCGCCGCCATTACTCGTGTATAAATAGACATCTCGTCCTCTTTACACTCTCTTTACATTTTCACGGAGAGAACATTTCCTGCAGGATTTCACGAGATATCTCTGGAGGGAGTAGTTGGGGACAAAGGACAGAGTTATAATTCGAACAAGTGAACATTTATCTACACATAGATACCAAGATGGAAGCTGTTGGATGTGTATTCGTGCTGTGAAGGTGTGAAATGAAGCGAGCGTCGAGCGAATTTTGCGATCACGCTTTCCTACCTGCTCTCTTATTCATGTTGTTTGTGCACAGGGCGGGCGTGTGGTGTACTTGTGTGTTGTAGATAAGCATTTGACCAGCATTTACAGGTGATTATAGGCGAAATAGAGTAGAGAAACATTAAGACTTTGGTAGTAAATACATTTCGTGTTTATTTACTTTTTTATTTTTTTATTGAGACGTTTCAAATGCCTGTGGACTGTCTAGTTACTCTGCTGTCAGCCCTAGTACTATAGCTTATGGGCTAGCCCTTGTTCGCCACAGGCCTGTTGCGAACAAGGGCTATAGTACTAGAGCTATTCCGCTGTAATTTACCTGTTACTGCACACTATACATTGTCTACAGTACAGCACACTGTTATTGTTAAGGTTAAATGTTTATTGTTTGTGATATCTGACATTAAATAAAGATTCTTATCTTATCACACAGGTTGGGTCTCGCTAATCCGGCGGCAAGCTTGTACTATTGCTGCTGCGCTTGGGACCAATTGCATTAGCAGATTTTCATAACTAGTGAAGCTTAAGTTAGGGTAAAAAGGAAAGTAATGCATGTAATACTCAGTTATACTGCATTGTTAGTACAGTATATGCATTTATACAGTGCTACTGTATCGATCGGTTCTATACAACTTGCATACACACAGGGGTAGAAATTAATTTTTGAACACGGGAGTCCAACGGACTCCCTACCCTCAAAAAGAGGGAGTCTGCAGCAAAATGAGTGAGTCCACAGTCTGAGGTTCAAAATTAAAGATGTTAACAATAACGCATGGGTTTATTGTGAAGATTCATGCGGTTGCACCTCTGCCAAATTTTCTTTGGACATTAGCTGAAAAAATACGGTAATTCCGCGAGGCCGTGCTCTGGAACGAACTATAGTTAGTATGGCAGAATTTCAGGGAGCCACACGGACTCTTGCATATGTCAAATCAGGGAGTCCGACAGTAAATCGGGGAGTATTTGACTCCGGACTCCCGTTAATTTCGCACCTTGTACACACGTTACATGAAATCAGCTTCTTGAAAGAATTACTGGACCTCTTAATGACAAAGTGTTAGCCCTGTGGCACAGCATGTTTACAAATTTGTGTTTCAGTTAAAACAATGAAGCCAACGAAACGTTACTTCGGGGCGGACGCTGTAGCGGCAAAGACAGATGCTCGGCAAGATGACGGAAGAAAAGACAAGTCCGGAATGAATGAGAGCAAGTCCGGCACTGAAGACAGATTAATGTTGCTACCGGATGACAGTGATAGCAAACAAACTTCCAAAAAACGGTCTAAAGTTCCGAACATGAGAAAGGTATGCGAGCGATTTCAGTTTTGATGTCCACATGTAAATTAATATAACATGAGCAGGGTGTTTTGTAAGAGTTGGGAATGCCAGTTCGTCATTGGTGAAATCAGGTAATATTGTAATGCATTCATGGGAGTTCCAGCCTGTGCTACTAAATGTGGAAGATCTTACACAAACACGCATGGGGAGCTTGATACGACGTGCCAGTGTATCGGCCTTGAAAAGTCAATGATGAGTAACCTATAAGGTGAATCGTGCTAAACTGTATAGTGTAATGTGAAATGTATAGCAGTTTTGATGTCAGTAGTGTATAGGAGTAGTTGTATTCAAATGTAAAAAAGATTGTAGGCCTACTCGCCATTAATTATGATGAACTTTTATGTTGCAGATTGATCCCTACCCAGGCGAGGCACCTGTATCGGAGGATACTGTGAAGAAGTACACAAAAACAAAGAAAGTTAAATCTGTAAGATGTCATGTTAACTGCTTTCGTTTTTATTTTTTGAATAACACCTTTGCTACAGCAATACTAATTTATTATTATATGGATATTTAGAATCAATGACAGTTATCACAGTATTCAAATTTATATACATTATCTTTATACTATATTGCCTTATAAGATCCAACAATTTCCAACAAGGACCTGTCAACTCAACAAGAGTTTTTGATATGCCATTCTTATCGTCCTATTCCACAGGCAGGAATAAAAGGTAAATATCATGAGCACCGATACAAACAGCAGGTGCAAGCTACACGGTTGGCTGCAACGCAAGCTGCCAGAGCAGAGCTGCTACTGCGAGAGGACACAGGGTGAGTTTCAATTTATAACTGTCTGCTGGTAGAATTATTGGTGTGAACTAAATTCTCAAGAGTTTGTGGGCAACTATACTTCGTGTTTTACGGTTGGAATTGCTAATCTGGCATCAGTTGGTGTCCATCCATCTGGCCAAAATAGTTAGAAACATATTTATACTACAGTATTTTCAAATCATTGTGCTGAAATCTACACGAGATAGCACGATTATTTGTTGATATACACTGCTACTCTGGTAGTTATCGTTTACACAGTATTATTATCATTATTTTTAATATTTAACTTCAGGAAAAACATATAAATCTTTTTTTAATTTAATTTTAGGTATTTCGAGGCAGATGAAGGTGAAGACACGAGCAAAATTTCACAGTATGACATAGCTGATGCTGTTGATATAACTAGTGCAGAAAAGGTATATCTAAATAATCACATAAGCATTAATTCATCAATAAGGAGGAAAAATAATGACTCAACATTATTATTTAATTATGTGAAAGTGTGATAATTTCATAGCATAATTTTACATTATGTATTGTATTTTTTTTACTATATAAGTGTAAATAACTTTACAGTTCTTTGAATTGCACCTGGACAAGTTTGGACCATACAGAATTAATTACACAAGAAATGGAAGGTATGTTGTTGAATCGCATTATTCAAGCTAAAATTATGTTATACAATATAATGTAATAATATATATATACACCATTTAAACTTCTGCAACCCCCTTATTGTCATCCCTACAATAAACTAATTTGTCAAATGAGAAATCTTAATCAACAGCATTGGTTTTCTTTATGAAATAACTTGCTTGCGACTAACACATCTCGTCTTTAATAACGTTTGCTTCACTTTCTATAGACACTTGTTGGTGGGTGGAAGGAAAGGTCACCTAGCAGCCATTGACTGGCAGACTAAACATCTGATGTGCGAATTCAATGCTACAGAAGTTATAGAAGATGTGAAGTAAGTCATTGCAGGTCCATCAATTATATGTAAACTGATACATAGTAGGTTGGTTAGTAATACTTGCGGTAAATTCAACAGAAAAAGTACTAAATATGAAATTCTAAACATAAAGTATGGATTCACATGTTCATCTCAGCATACCTAAATGAGAATAATTGCGTTTCAGATGGCTACACACAGAAAACATGTTTGCCGTGGCTCAGAAGAAATGGACATACGTCTATGATAACCAGGGCTTAGAGCTGCATTGCCTCAAACTGCTGGACTCTGTTCTGCGCATGGAATACCTGCCATATCACTTCCTGCTAGCCACTTCTGTTAGCATTCTACATTTGTGCTTTCATACTAATGTCTTGAATACTTACTACAGAAAAAGGTTTTTTGGTGTCACAAACACCCAAGAGAAGAACCTTGGTCTAGAATCTGCCAGTATTTTTACGATAGTCACTAAATGAAAAATCGTATGTGCTTAAATATTTCTGAAGCAGACATCCAATTTTATTAATGCAAGGAATTACCCACTGACATTATAAAATCTGAATGCGGCAATGAAATCGCATGACTTTTGCTGATCCCTAATGATCGCTTGTGTATACCTGCTGTTTCAGAGTGCCAAAGGTTATCTGTCCTGGCTAGACATCTCAGTAGGCAAGCAAGTTTCGGGTTGCGTCACGCACATGGGCCGACTTGACGTGATGTGCCAGAACCCGCATAATGCTATCATTCACCTAGGTGCCACCGGAGGTAGGATTGCATCTCTTTGATAACGTCTATACGTGTTTCACAAATCTCAGGAATGTTGTTGCAAGTTTCCTGTTTCATATTGCTCTTCTATAGCCCCCAACCGTACAAATGCTTACTTAATTTTTAAATATGGTGTGATTTCTGGTATATCTGCTAACAAGTTAAAGTACGTTTCACTGCACGTTTTTTAAAAAATTTTTGAGTGTGTTTCAGAAACCATTACTTTATATTAGTTCATTTTGGCAGATTTTGTTTGACGGTGCGATTTCGGTTAGAAGACATATTTAAAGATTTGTATGACTTCTCATCGGCAGGCAGCGTTACGTTGTGGTCACCATCCGTTAAGGAGCCACTCATAAAGATGCTGTGCCACAGAAGTGCCATCAGAGGTTTAGCTGTCGACACCACTGGAAAGTAGGCATTGTTTCATATACCTGCGTGCATCCGACGTAAAGATTTGCTGTTCTGAGAACAAATGTTCTTTTTCTTCTTTTTTCTTGTTATTACCTTGGATCTTCTTTGGGACGTAAATCGGCTGTGCTACTGAGGATGGTCACTGCAAAGAGTTAATGTGTCTTCTGTTCTTCCACGTCACCATTACTAGAGACGGGCCCGCCATTTTACGTGGGCATCTGAGCCACAAGGGATCCCAGAGTTGGTCCACAGTCCCCAGTGTTCAGAGCCAGGTTTTTCACACATTGGGAAAGTTCACTGTTCTATCTGGGGTTTGAACTCACAGCCTTAGCCATGAATGATGGATGTGTTGGGCTTTCCAACGTGCTCAACCAGCTGAGCACTGAAACATCCCTAACTGTTGCCCATGATTTTATCCATGGTTCTGTCTGTTGCAGTTACATGGCAACTGCCGGTGTGGATCGCTCTCTTCGAGTGTTCGATCTCAGAACCTACAAGCCTCTCTACAAATACAAGATCTCTGCCGGAGCCACCTGTCTCAATTTTAGCCAGACGGGCCTGTTGGCTGCCGGGTTAGGTAACGTCGTTGAGGTATGTGCGTTTGTGTACCACTAGCTGTGTCGTGTTATGTTATAAAATGCGTTTTAGATCTGGTTGGCTTGTGCTGTTAAGAGTATGCAATTAGTCTTCGTGGCATAGATTCATCGTTATGCATTTTACAGTTTGATAATGAAAGCAGAATACTGAATAGACTGCTTATACGTTCAAACACCGGATGAAAAATATTTTTTATTTAATTGTATATATTGAGAATGGATAACAGCTGTACTAGGAATGTTAATGTTAAGCAGGCAGAAATTCCACTCGACACTGACGTGCCTGTATTCCGCCTGTGAGATAATACTAATTGATAAGTACCGCTACTAATACGAGTGCTTATGCTAATTATCCTACTCTTGGTGTATTGCAGGTGTACAAGGATTGTCACAAGTCACAGGTGACGGCTCCCTACATGTCACATCGGCTCACGTCTCCCATGACAAATCTACAGTTCTGTCCGTACGAGGATGTTGTTGGTGTGGGACACGGCCAGGGATTTGCCAGCCTAATCATACCAGGTCTCTTGCATCTGTTCACACGTTGAAGATCACAGTCAGGTTCCCCGGGTTTAAACCATATGTAATTAAAAGTCATCAAACGGCAGTTGCCTGAAATAAGTCTGTCCTTGTACTTTGGTTACACTTCTATTGAATTGAATTGTTAAAATCTGGAGGTGAAGTAAATAGTGGTAATGTGGTTCGTGATGGATTTTATATGTGACAGTTTCTGTCAGATGTCTTATTAACTATAATGCCTTTTTAGAAATAATGTTAGCATGATATTTTAATAGTCTGTCCAGGTACTTTAGTTTATTATTCGGTTATCAGTTGATTAGATGATTCGGTTCTATATGGTCTTCGTTTAAATCGTGCTTATTGCACAGGTGCCGGGGAGGCCAATTTCGATGCTTTGGACGTCAATCCTTACCAAACCAAAAAGCAGAGGCAGGAATGGGAGGTTAAGGCCCTGCTGGATAAGGTATACTATACTGCTTTACAATGACTATATTTCTAACAATATCAATATATATATATTATTAACAGACTAGTGGCTTTACTCGATCAAGATGTTTCTTTGTATTCTGCCTGCTACATGCGGCATATATTATGTGAGTGGAATCGTGAGGCAATGGTGATGAAATCCCACCAACTGGAGTTAGCTTGCAGCTGTCAATCTTGTTCTTCAGAGTTTTGTTAGTGACTTTGCTTGCTTACAGATTCAACCAGAGCTGATCACGCTTAATCCACACGAAATCGGGCAGATTGATCAACCGGCAATGCAAAGTAAATTGGACGCTAGGAGCAAGTTACTGGTATGTGGTCTACGTGGTATAATTTTTCAACTGTATTTTAGTTGTAGTAGCTTGGTATTTTGATCTTTTATTGATCTTATCGAAATTATCCTAATCTTTGAAAAAGTGCTGCTTATCATTGTGCTGTAGTTGCCCTGCGAGAACTAATAAATATGAATGTAGTATGAATCTGAATAAAAATGTAAAGAAAAATAGTGGTGTTTTCCATCAGTTGACTTTACTCTAATGCTTTGAATGCTTATTAGATTGTCCCAATAAAATTTTATGTTGTTATCGTTAATATAGTTAAATCCATGTACTTATTCTTACAGTATTCTTTTGTAGGGAGGAGTACCCTATATATGTTAGCACCTTCAAGAAATCACATCCTCACAGAGTGTTACTGTCATTCTAATATCATACTTGTTGCCAGGGTATAGCAGTATAACATGTTTTTTGTGCACTGTTCTAGTTAATCAAGTCACCAAAGTCCGACTTTGAGCCAAAACACAAGAAAAAGGGCAAAAGCAAAACTGGCAGGGTGGAGTCGAGGAAGAAGGGCCGGAGGTTCGAAGAGAAGAGGGTGAGCTACTCTCTCGATTAATCTCAACGCTGATAATATAATAACTATAATATATAATACATATACACATAGTATATATATATATATATATATATATATATATATATATATATAATAACTCTTTTAGTTATGCAAAGTGATAAACCGCTGCTGATTTACGCGTACGAGTAAGCGAAAAATGGAACCGGCGAGAAAGAATACGGTGAACTCGATCACGTACAGTGAAAGTTAGGAAACTAGCTGCACTTCTCTCATTACGATCGCCATAGATAAAACCGAGAGATTCTAAAGGATTCGCCGCGAGAATCGTCGCGGCTCGGCACGCGCGCGGATCCACGTTAGTCGTACTCACTGCTGTGCCATTGTCGTTGTTGTTGTTGTTGTTGACAGGAGTTTATCAAAGACACCGTGAAGCTGAGAAAAACTGCTGCGGTGGAGGAGTCTCAGAGCAGCGAGCCCGCGCAGCCGAAAACGACGTTAGACCGCTTCAAGAGTGCGCCACAGACAGGATCACGTGTCACATAACTATCTGTACATTGTGGTGGGCCTGTTCGCGCCTAACTGAAGAAGATCGTGTTCAATTTCATACCGTGATGAAAATATCGTAATAATAAATTTTTTTCGCTATATATCTAGTGACTTGCGTGTTTTGTACTGCAGTAAGCCATCGCCCACCGAGGCGTCTACTATCCCGGAAAACACTGTGATTAGAGAAACGAAAGAAGCCATAAACAGCGAATACAGTGTGGAAATGTGGGGTCTAGGAAAAAAAGGCTACAGTGTTGGATGTTCACGGTGTAATTACAGTTCTTTGAATACACAAAAATATGATAAAATTCACAATACGTACACATAAATCTTCAATTTAGGATTTGTTTAAGTTCAATGAGCACCACTAGTTCATATAATAGCATTGCCTATTTACTTTATCTAATATTGACAACAAATTAATTCCAACAAGCCTCGCTGGAATCTCGAAAGTGAGAAACGTGCGGTATGGTTTGCACGAAAACTTTATTTAGGAACTTTACTTTAACGTAACATTTTATTCAATGTAAATGTGTTGTCAGCGTCACGTCGACGTCAACATAAAATGTCCCTATATCTATCTATACATATATATATATATATACACACCACGGACACGCGCACGCACGCACGCACGCACGCACGCACGCACACACGCACGCACACTCGCGCACACCGAGAGAGACAGACGCGTGCGCGCGCACACGCACACGCACATGCACACACAAACGCGCACGCACACACACCGAGAGACACATACAATTTCCTATGTATATGGCAGAAATTTGTTCTTAACATACAGCAAAACACACTCATGTGTATCAGGAGCAAGAATCCCTCTCTCCCTCAGCAAGCTTTATATTATGCAGTTTTCGTCAGTCTATACTGCACGCTTGAAACCGTGCTCGCGCATGCGCAATATCTCCCGAGAACAATGGTATTATGCATTTAAAATGGAGAGGAGTCATCCTAGCATAGATTTATATAATAACATTCTATCAGTAGACCTCACTTAAGAAATTATGAAGACGAGATTGCATGTAAGGACCCCGCTGCGTATACCAGTCAGTACACAATCTGGCTAAGTTAGTATGGTAGCGCATGCGCAATATCTCACCAGAGGAGATATATTTTGTGATGAATATGCATTTAATATGCTTAGGGGGTATCTCCGCATAGATTTATGTAATAAATTCTTATCTGTAGACCTGTGTTCATGATTAGTAGAGCGCCCTAGCCCGTATAGTACAAAAGTCCTAATTTCCCCTTCCCGTCTTTTCCCTTGCCTCCCTTGTCGCTCGCTTAGCCTCTCTTTCTTCTACCGCCTTCAGCTATCTTGCCTGCCGCATATCCGCAGTCTCCCAGCCCCTCTCTCCTTTAGCAAGCTATATTATGCAGTTTTCGTCAGTCTATACTGCACGCTTGAAACCGTGCTCGCGCATGCGCAATATCTCACCAGAGGAGTTATATTTTGAAATGAATATGCATTTAATATGCTTAGGGGGTATCTCAACATAGATTTATGTAATAAATTCTTACCAGTAGACCTGCGTTTATGATTAACAGAGCGCCCTAGCCTGTATAGTACAAAAGTCCTACTTTCCCCTTCCCGTCTTTTCCCTTGCCTTCCTTGTCGCTCGCTTAGCTTCCCTCTTCTTCTACCTCCTTCAGCTATCTTGCCTGCCGCATATCCGCAGTCTCCCAGCCCCTCTCTCCTTTAGCGAGCTATATTATGCAGTTTTCGCCAGTCTATACTGCACGCTTAAAACCGTGCTCGCGCATGCGCAATATCTCCCGAGAACAATGTTATTTTGCAGACATTATGCATTTAAATCGGAGAGGAGATATCCTAGCATAGATTTATATAATAACATTCTATCAGTAGACCTCACTTAAGAAATAGGAA